TAAGGATTGAAGTCTTCTCTGAATCCACACCTACATTCTTTATAGTCGACTATATACTTGTAGTAGTACAGTTTTCGTGAAACCAAAAATTTTTAGATATTCACTAAAACTTATAGTCTTCGATAGTTTTCTGGCAAAAAAATTAAATGAATTAAGTTCAAAAGCTTTCTTCAAACTTCTACTATCAAAAACAGCTCTAACAGAGATGGTGACTAAAACTGAAACTTTTTGAAAGAAAAGGAACGACATTTTAAGAAAAATGGTGTTTTTGAACATCGTTTCTAGAAAAGTATTGAAGAGACTGTCCATAGTTCATTATCATATGCTCTTTGAGAATGGAATAAAAGCATAATAATACGAGGACTTCTTCAGGAATTGTGTCGATTTAATTTCGATCAATTTTTGTGTCATAAGATGTTTTTTTCTAGTCGATAGAACGAGTCATTCATATGAAAAATTCTTCCAGCGAACAATTCATTACTAACTTTTCTCATATTAGAGGTCAAAAGGCTATTAGTTTGTTTTTCCTGTGTGACAACAAAAATTTTGACATCTGACTTGCATGCGTTGGTATACGAAAATAAAGGTGCAAAGTTTTCATTTCATAGCAGCACGGGACGTAGAGTAAGAAAAAACACGCATAGGTGAAGAATATAGTGAAAAAAACAAGCACCTCCAATTACTAGTGTATACCAAGAAAAAGAACTACCTACATTATCAAGATGTTACGCTCCATTGATGCACATAATGATGCACAAGTTAGAAAACATTAACCAAGCCTGTTATCGATAAATACATGATAAAACTGAGTGTGAACATCTAAAACACATATTATACATTTTAGTATCATTTAGCGCGTGAGTACAATTGCTTTTGAACTTGTTGATAAGGTATCCCATGAGATACTCAACCAATTTTTAACAGAGCTGTACTGTTTTAGAAAAATTGATCTCTCTCTTTATATTATTGTACTATAAAGTTTTAGTAAATTTTTTTTGTTTGGAAATCAAATTAGGAAATGGTCAAAACACTTTCAAATTATTATTAATTGTTAAACTATTTTGGAATTTCAAGAACATGCACTAGTCGACGATCTTGCCCTATTCTTTCCAGGTTCTTGTTTTTCTTGGTTTTCAGACAAGATTCTTTTTCCATTCCTTCTATACAAGATTCTTGCCTGAAAAGACTGATCTTGCCTTTCTGACAAGATTCGTGTAGACCGAATCTTGGCTGGTGAGGCAAGAAGTTCTTCTCCAGACAAGATTCTTGTATTCTTGCTTTCTTGTCTGATTCTTGCTTTTCTTGAATTCTTGTCTGATTCTTATTTTTCTTGATGTTCTTGCCTGATTCTTTTTTTCTAAGATTCTTGTCTGTTTCTTATTTCTTGTGTTTCTTGCCTGATTCTGGTCACATTAAAAAAGCCTTTTGTAGGTTCTTATTACTCTCTTTTTCATATCATTTTATTATAAGCTTTGCACACCATGTACAAAAAAATGTAAAAAAAAAACAAAAAAATACTTTTAATTTCACATGTTATTAAAGCAGTTTCAGTTTTTAATACAAAAAAAACAAAATTTTAATTATCAAAAAAAATACTTATTTTTTCAAACTTCATCATCGTTGTGTGTTGAGCTAGCTCAATTAGAATAAGTTATTTACAATTTGTTCAACTAGTAAATGATGTAGAGATAATTGAGTACGATGATGTTGATCTTTTTTCTTAGCACGCCATCGACGTTGTTTATCTGTATGTGGTGATGACTCTAAAAAAGATAGTATTTTAATCAAAAAGATATAAAGTGCATATAGATATTACCTATACTACCAAGAACATTATCAAACAATAATTTTTTGATAAAATCGATATTTCCTTCATCCATTAAAAAAACACTTTTGTGGATAATGAAAGAAAATCTAAAAAAAATAAAATAGAAAGATGTGGATTGGTAAAATATCGAAATGTGTTTAATAAGTGTAAGTTTTCTGAAAACAAAGGAAAAAAAGATATCATATATTCCACTGTTTTCTCGATATCGAATGGAAACTTTTTCTATACATCCAATTGAAATAATGAATAAATAACGTTCAGACATTGCCTTTATATATTTGATCATACAAAGACGATATCACGTGCTGTTGATCTTGAAAAGCTGGCAAGAATCTTTTTCTTTTCTATCATAAGAATCTTGTCTGAATACTACGAAATTTAAAATATCTTATATTTCTTTCCAGTTTCTGTTTTTTCATAATTTTCAGACAAGATTCTTTTGATCTTGAACTTCAGACAAGATTCTTTATCTTTTCTTTTAACAAGAATCTTGTCTGAACGTTAAATATATCTTGAATATCTTATAATTCTTGCCTGATTCTTTTATTTCTGATTAATCAGACGAGATTCTTGTCATCTTGAAATTCAGACAAGATTCTTTTTACTTTCCTGTCGAAAAGAATCTTGCCTGAATACAGGAATCTTGTCTGAAAGTAAAGAAAAACAAGAACCTGGAAAGAATAGGGCAAGATCGTCGATTAGTGTGTTTGATTTGTTAAAAGTAGAGTTACAATCTGATTCTGAAAAAAAAACACTTTTTATTTTATGCTGTTGGAGAGCTTAAACTCAATTACTTCAAAGATAATATCAACAGTGAAAAATCTTTGGTAGACTATGACGGTTTTTTATGATATAAATTACTGAAGAAAAGATCTATCTCATTTTATTGATGCATTTAGAGCAGATTTTTTTTTCTTTTTTTATGAACGCCTTATTTTTATCTGTATTGTTGCTATTCGCACATCATTTTTTACTTTCGTATTTCTTTTTCTTAATTTAAGGTTGGTACTATTATAAGCACTGAACTAACTAGCAACTAATATTCCTGTACATCCCAGCCAAAATTTGTAACGGCAAAATGGTATTAAAATGATCGAAAATTTACACCATTAAAATGGCAAAAAACTGTCACAAACAACCCTGTGAAATGTTTTCTTGATAACGCATTAAAATGATTAATTTAATGAAGATAAAATGGCTCAACGTTTACAAAAAATAATATATAGAAGTCAAGCCATTTTAACCATTATAGGATGTCCCAAA